AGCGTGCAGTGAGTTAAAATTTTAACACTGGCTTAATTCTCGCCGACAACGCGGGGCGAAGCGCCTGGCAAATTTAATCTGCGAGATTTGAATAATACGTATGCACGCGCGCAATTTTCGTATAATTCTATATTTAATTGTTGCGAGAAAACGGATGAACCTAGCGAGAAAAACGTTTATCATCCCCCATCCCCTTCCGTTGTCTCTATAAAACGCTTGCCATCTTCTATAATTCTTTCTTGGTGAACATATGTCACTCAAAAAAGTGGTATTGCAACTACAGCAAAAATTTTCTGGGTGCGCAAAATTAACTGAGGTACATAAATGATTAGCAAATACTGTGATATCGCATATGTTTCGCATTTAATCAATCTAAGTGACAGAGACAGAATTTATATCTGAACTGTTTGTGAAAATTAGAAAGAATGTTTTTCTGTGGCGCCTATCCATGTAAGGCCAATCATACTTGTTATAAAGTTTGACTGTGGTACACAGAAAAAATTAGCGACAAGAAACAAATGAATATATAATCCCCACATCTAACATATTTGTATAACGCGCCCAATCTATCTAGCTCTTTTAAACAATTTCTCTCAATTTTTCGATGCTGCAGTTATAATTGGCAGTTATATTTCTCACAAAGATCGTTCCAGCTGTAGTATCGAAACTCATATTTATCCAATGCAGTGATTAACATTTGGCAATGGGACCTAAATTTTCTAGAAGATATTATTAGAATATTGCTGCTATAAATTCTATATGTAACAGACAATATTCTAACAGATACAAAAAATAGCGATAAATTTTTGTTGTGACACCTAGAAATCTACCTATATCAGCAAGACATTTTTTTGAGTGGTCCTTCTTCTAACGGACATTTGTCACATTCGCGCAAACTGCTCAAAATTAATGAATATGTCGAGATGTGCATGAAAAAATATTTTGACAGTTCGCTATATATATAAAGCTATGTAAACCTATTATTGATACTATTGATTTATTTAATTGTTATGGTTAGATCTAAATTTTTAATGGTAATTAGTAGATATATAAGTGGTATTACGGCTGAAGAACAAAATAAATATCTGGATATAACATAAAATTTTAGATTTTTTCTTTAAAATAATATAAAAAAGTACTACGATAGAGAACATTAAATCTTCGACAATTCGGAAATAAAAATATTTAGACTAAATTTAATAAAATTTTTTAATAAAAATGTTTTCATACATATGTATATATTTTATAAATGTTCAGATATACAAAATATTCAATGCGTGAAACGTAATTTTTTGTAATATTTTTTTTTAATAATAAAATTTTGGAAATGTATTGCGGGTATATCGAGAAGTTTGTATTTTATTTCGGGAAAACATGATGTATCGAGTGCATAGATGGATAGTGTTATTTTTAGCGTCATCCTGTATTATTTGGTGACGTCCACTTCTTGTTTCGAGATAAAACATCGCGGAACGATGAAAAACGCTGTCAAGAATGCATCAGCCCCCTCCGAAAATATACAGGCAATCTATCGCACGGCGTCCCGCAATGCGTTAACGGTATCGGAGCGATAGATACGACGGACACGTGCGCGCGTGATTTTCGAGCGAGCTCTCGCTTAACGAGTTCGAAGACAGATAAGATTTACGAGAAAAATGCTTGTCAGCGCGGGATGGAATTTATGAAAACTCTCGTTTTTCGCTCCGGCCGACTTCGTCGGTCCCCTTCGCGCCCAGTCGGCTCTCGCCACGTCTTTTCTTTCCGGCATGCTTCTTCCTCCTTATTTCTCGTCCATCCATTTTCCTCGCGCGAAACTTGGTGCGCCGCTGTATGCAGCAGAAAGTACATCGACTCGTGATGTACTTTTTGCGATACATTAAGCCGTATATTTTATGGGACGTGCGTATAACGGTAGTGGCGGCGGCGGGTAACATGCTTTACGAGTACGCGCTATCGACTGAGGGGGCGAGGGAGGTTGCGCGTGGGGTACGAAGGGGCGTTGCGAAGACACGCGAATAACGTTCGAGGCGCGAGCGAGTGACTGATGTGACTTCGGGGGTTACCCCTCACGCAGCCTGAGGTTATCAACCCCTCTCCGTTAAATTACGCTTAATTCGATCTTATGGTCGACAATGGCACCGTTATTTCCACTCGATAAAAAGATACTCGATGACAAATAGCGCAGCGCCGCATTAACAAATTTAATTTAAGGATGCTGGGAATTGCTGTTAGAAACTAATGTACGAGGACAAAATTCGTATTACTATAGTAATCTTTTTAAATAATTTGTTTGTTATTTACACTCGATGCTAAAATGAGTCAATTGATATGCAAGATATATTTAATTGAATTTAAAAATTTATATATTATCTTTTTTTCAATTTTTTAATTTTCTCTATCTTTTTTCTTTAAACATTCTTAGTGATTTTTTCGAATATAACTAATATAGATAGTAATTGCAAATAAATATTGAAAACTGGGATAGTACATAAATTTACTGTCACTACTGTGTTACCATTATTACAAACGGTAGATGTGTTCGAATAGTAACTGCGATAATAGGCAAACCTTCGGGAGGAGGGAGATGAGGAGGGGTAGCAAAAACACTAAAAGTACACGCCATTATTCCTCCCATCTAATTACAATAATAATAGCCGCGTAACGGCCCGCCCCTCTCGTTGCCGAACGAATTTACATAAACGCTCGACATACTTCATTATCGCGGCTATCGATCGTGAAAACGACCGTTGGTCGGAGTCGAACGGACTCATTCGAGAAGGACCCTCATTCCCGATCAACCTGATTATCCGCTTTTCAAATGGACGAATTTCACGAATACGCGAACCAACACGCGTATTGGGCGGATCGAGTTTCTTGGTCGAATATCCGTCTCGCCCATCGAACGAATTTCCTCCTCCGTGACGTTTCTTTACGGCAATTTCTAGCAAGATTGCCACGCCGCGCATACACGTCCGTATCGACGCCTCGTTCCTACACGGCCTCGATGCATACGGATGCGCCGAGTAGAGTATGCAAACGTATCCATAATACATAACGCGCACACGCACACGACGAGGCACGTACAAGCGCCACTGTATGTATGCGTGTGTGTATGTGTTGCATACATATAGCGGCGGCTTTCGCTGCATCTAATGTACACTTTTCACGTCGCGGCAAACTGCAGCGAGCACCGTAAAGATAGTCCGGGGAAGTGCACCGCCGGTATTACGTGACGTGCCGCTCGATAATGATACCGCCGTCGTGCGATAAAAACAAAGTGAGCGTTATACATACATGCATTCGTACGTACGTATGTGTACGCGCGCGAAGGCGCAGCCCGTGTAAGCGGCGAAGGTAATGATAATGGGATGCATCGCGCTTTAACGAAACTCCGTATAACGCTCGTTGAAAATTATTCGTTCGCCCTCCCTTATCGCGCCGTCGACTTCCTCGGGGAGTATTATTAATATATTTCGCAAGGGGAGTTTTCGCTCAGCAGCGATGCGCCTTATAGTTTCGTCGAGAATATTTTCCCTCCTCTTAATTAGACTTAGACATTAAGAAAAACATGCGGAAGGAAGGAAGAGATTATGTTATAAAAAGGTTTTTTTTTCTTGGGGTTACGCAACTTTTTTTTTTTTTTATACATGTGTCGAATTTATTGTAATCACACACGAGATATCTAATAGAGTTAAGCCGGACTTAATGGCAGAAGATAATAATCCTCCTGTGGAGGAGAAAATTATATAATATTCGTTTTTAAATTACGTTTATACGTATGTAAATTATGGATTTTGAAAGTAGTACGTTCATTTGAAAAACATCAGTAGTCACATTTATCTGTAATCAGACACGAACTGTGTTACTACTGTTTCTGGATTAACAAATAATTGGATGAATTGTAACCACGATTTCTTATCAAAAGGCTAATGGACATTCGTAGTAGATTGTCATGAGGTTATGCTTATAAAAAGATCTTTAACATTTTTTGTTTAAACTGGCGAGATCGTAGATTAATGTACATGTAAGGATCTTTAGAGTAGCGCGCGCACATATATGTCAAACGCGGCAGTAGTCACAACGACGTGCGGTCAGACACGCAACGTATTTCCGACCGCCGTGTTCTTTTTCAATTCTAAATAACGAAAAGAAACGTAACATCAATAATATTTAAATGTACTTTCTCATTCTACACATTTATCGATCACATTATCATATTCTTCGCAGAGAGGCACATATCGTGCAAGGTACAGTTTAAAACGAGATCGTCATCCAAGTTATGAACTCGCGCTTTTGACAAATAGCATATTTCGATGAGACTTTTTACGGATCGTTCTGTCGTCAAGATGAAAAGACAATGTAACGATCGGATGGCTATTTAAGTCGGATCAAAATAGCGCGAGGACACTTAACGGCGGTTATGATCGGGCATAAAGTGTACTTCGGTGAATACGAGCGAAAGAGGGGGACAAAGGGGCCAGGTGCGCTCTCGGCAAACGAGATGGATGTGCTGGATGTTCGCGTATCGCGTGACCACTCGATCAACGCCGCCGCGAGTTGACAGTGACTTACGCACCCGGGCACTCAACGAGATATGACATGCGCCAGAGCGGTCGCGCGCCGTCGACGGGGCGCCCCATTGTTACCTACCTGTGTACCCGCCAAACACTCTTAATCTTTCTATCTTTCATAGCCTTTGTCATCGTTCGATCGCTCACTGTACCCACCATATTTCTCCCTTCGCCCTCTTTGCGCGTTCCTTTCCTCCCTCTTATCGACCTACTTCCCTTCCCGTCTCGCGAATAAAGTACGACGTTCGTCGCTCGCGACGATAACGTCGCGTTTGTTTCGTCGCATCGTATCAGTATCTTTTATATTAAAGCTGCATAAACTAGTTCGAGCTTTCGAGCACATGCGTTGCACAACGATCTCTCAAGAGAGAAACGAACGATAATATAATGCTCTAGTCGTATATTGATTGACAGGTGCTCGTTACTTACCGGAATCCAGGACCGTGTATCGTGGATTTGACGTGTCGATAGGTAGCATATCTCGCACCCAGGAGATGATGGGCGTCGGAGATCCGACCGCTGTGCAAAGAAGAACCGCGTTGTGGCCCATCTCGACTACCTTTGTCGTCGGTGCTTGAGTGATCATTGGAAAACCCATCGGTAGATTCTCCGCTGTAATCACAAAGGAAAAGAGGTATCTTTAGTTATTAGGTGTTTTAATGGTGTTTAAAAGTCTACAGAGGAATAACCGATGCATTATGCAGTACGGAAGAGGCGCTGATAATATTATATAGGTGGAATGAGAAGGAGCTTATGTATCTTTTAAGCAAATTCTCTAAGAGAAGCGAATGTATAATGGTCGTAACAAGACAACGAACCGTAATTTTCAGCTTATAATAGATTCAGTATTCCAAGAAAATGATCTGGTTATCTATCCCTTTAATTATATGATATGTAGAATATATTTTTATTGGATATATTACTGTCATATTATTTCTATAAGCCATTCATTCGCAAAAGTGCGTTAAATCTTTCATTGAAAGCGAGATACGATATAGATTTAGAATATTTCACTATTTGAATAAAACGGATTTACCCGAACTTTTATATACCTGCGCCTTCGCGTTTGCGCACAAGTTTAATCAATCAAAAGAGATATTATTTTTGACTACTACATTCATTTTTTATCTACAAAAGACACATGTATTTTTTAGATATTGGAGTAATCAAATATCATGATTTATATAGTAGAACAAGTTATATACGATTAGTTAAAAGATCGCATTTTGTTCGGAAATATTACGTTTGGAAAAAATGTCTAAATTGGACTTGACATCTACACGTCTTTTACATTGATACGGAACAAACTTTGCGGCTCGTCAATTATACATTGGACGTGCCGTAGGGTAGAACCAGGATAGCTCTCTGTGGATCGTAGACATTGGGCATTCAGTGACCGGTCTCGCGGGATCGAAAGTTAGGAAAAGCCACTGGAACTGACCGGACCGCCCCGTTCCCATTTCCCACCCTGGGAAAACAGATCTTTCGTCTCTCGGAAGGTAGTCCGCGCTGATATGGATAGATGCGCGGGAACGCTGATGTGATCAGCGGAATGAAATCGCTGAAATTCAATATACCGCCGAGGTCTTTTGAAAGGATTTGCCAAAAGGGTCAAACGAATCGCGCGATATTTTCGCTTTATATTTTTGCGGTTGTATAATTGAAAATATTTTGCAAAAGGTTTTTAATTTTATTTTTAATAATATCACTAATTCATTATTCTTCTGCACATTTTCATTTCTATTTTCATAACTTGAGCGTCTTAATATAATTTTATTATATACGCAATAGGATGATAAATTCGTTCTCTTAACAACGAAAGAAAAACATATCAAGCTAATTAAAATCGGACGTCTGTCAAAATCTGCGAAATATAAGAAAAACGTCTTATTTTCAGAAAGAGGAAATAATATTCTTAATATAAAATGTGATATATCTTTTTGATAACACGGACCTTAATCGACCATACAAAATACCAGCGTATAATCGATATCCAATTAAAAGATATATTCGATAGAGGCTGAAGCGCGCGTCAAAGGAAGTGGTGCGCGAGTCGTGCGTAAAGTTGAGCCTTGGGGTGAGCAAGAAGATTAATTCGACCTGTTTCGAGGTACACGTGATTCGACCCACATCGCTCCCGTTCTTCATGTAATTACGACGGCGCTACATTAATCCTTGGGGTGAACTCGTAGTTAAATCTAAGTTGGGGACGCGGCATACGAAGTTCCAAACAACTCCCGCGATTGTCCTGCTTCCGTTTCGACGGCACTCATACGACAAAGATGAAGACAATCTTCTCGAGTTGATTTAATAGCAACCTCGCGACGCCCAGTTGTTCATTCGAAGTAGTCGCGTGTATCATTATTCATGGAGTTTATTCTACGTAAATGTAAAATTAAATATTTAATGAAAAAGATATACAGTGCATTGCGGAGTTATTTTCTAGCATACAAAATTTATTTAAAATTTTAACCTTAACTTTTTTAAACTCTTTAATTTTTTTGGATCATTTATACAGATCTTTATTATTTTGCTTTAAAAATATATAGCTTTCCAAAAACGCGGGATATTACTTTGGATTATATATCCCGTTAATAAATTAAAATTTATTGTTCGATATGTACATATATCTTGTAGGAAGCGTTTCTATTTTGCAACCGGATAACATTCGAATTACAATTTATGAAGAGGGCACTTCTGTAATTTTTACAAGTTCTCGCTGTCTGAGGTTAAAGTTACTGGAAAGCGAACTTGAGACTTATTACAAGGCCCACAAACTGGGTGAAAGTTTGCAGTAAGGGCGCGATCAAACTGCAATTACCACCAACGCCTCGGGGTGGCTCTTAGAAAGTCCATCTTTCACAGTCTCGTCAATTACAAGAGCAATCGGAACTCGCGGGCGAAGTTAGTGGTCGGTAGTACTTTCGCGTATTCTGATCTACTCGCCTTCATTCACAAATACATTTTAAACCAATAAACTTGTTGGATCTTGATGGGCTAGTCAAGCTTACTAAAGATATATTCAAAGGTTGGCACATATTTATATCCACATTTGCATTTTCTTCTTTTTTCTTTATAACTTTGATATATCTTCTTTAATCGCTAATATTATTCGGGTGGATTGTAGATAAAGGGAAAAATTATTGGATTTCTCTTATCCGCTTCACCATTACATTCCATTCGCCTCTTTAATTCTCCTTACCAAAGATTTTCGTCCAATAATTATTCGATAAAAGCAGCGCGATTGGTTTCTCGCTCTTTTGCGGTGAATAATATATTCCTGGATTTTCGAATGTATTTATAACACTGTTGATGTAATATATTAAGTTAATTTCCGATATTCTGCAAGCTATATTTATTTAGAAAAATAATATCTATATACAGAAGTATGATCAAAAATGAGTGTAATGTAATATGATCTGATTTAGTTCGACAATCTTAGTTATATTAAAAAATTAATATTAGTGACACTCTCCCACAAATTATAGTCTATCTTTAACATAAACAGAGAAAGAAATTTATTTATCTATGAGCGTTTATGCATTGGCGTTTATCCCCTTCGATACAACAAGGCTGTGTCATTTTTCTGACATAGATTACAATGACATCAACATAAAAAAATTGAAAAAATGTCCGTAATAATAGAAGACGCGGAACAATCGAGAAATCACTGGGTTCTCATATATATGCGCGGAAATAAAACCATCTGAAATTAGGTCGAGAAAACCAGCTATTTGCTACCACAGTTTCTGTTTTTTTTACACAGCTATACATTAAGAAACTAATAGCTTTTGTACAAGTCGTATCTCTCTTTCTCTTTTTCTCGGCGGAGTTTGTCAAACTTAACACGGGATTCGCGTGCTATTATCGCCAGAAAGGCCGAATAGAACGGCGACCCGATACTCGACAACCCCCGGCACTTTCTCGGGATTTTCCTCTCCCCTCCCTCTCATTGTCTTCTTCCGCGGCGTCGCTTCTTTGTCCTCGTTATCGTCCGAGTTATCCGGCGCGCGGCTGCACCAATTATATCGGCGGCCGAGAGAGCGCTTCGCGGTCGACAATAGAAATCGCCTGCAGACTTTCCGCATGGCCCCCGCAACCATTTCCACCTTCTCCATCTCCTGCATTTCTCTCGCTATATCCTCTTTCCGCGCGCTTTTCCACCGGCGACGACAAACAATACAAGCGCCCGACGTCGACAGTGCCGCGACGACAACAAAGTCGTCGGCAAAGCTATTGTCCCCGCCTGGCAAACCGGCCACCGCGCCTTCCTCATGTCCGAGGTCGCGCGACGACTATTGTACGACCGAAGAACGATGGCGAGAACAACGAAGATGACGAAGATTCTGTTTTCTTCTTGCAAGACATCGTGATTTTATAGGAATTTGTCTTCCTTTCCTACCAACGCTTGTTTTATCTGCGACATTCTTTCATTTCAGGTTTCTCTCCTTTATTTGCGATTTCTCAGCCTCTGTACCACTTGACTATATATGCAAATGCGTGCGCGTAAAAGCGCAAATATGATGGACCACGTGCGTGTGGACGATGAGTTATCGTCGGAGATGAACGCCTTCCTTTTTACTATTTTCTTTTACGATGTTCTGCGTTCTGTTTCTCTCTCTCTCTCTCTCTCTCTCTCTCTCTCTCTCTCTCGTTTTTTCCCTCTTTTCGCCAATGTATTCAACATATTTCACTCGACGCACATCGAGTTTTTTTTTATCGTTACATTTGGATTTATATCTACCGCAATGCGATCGTAAGACCTCGGCATTTCTCGAGAAAGAATTTTTCTTTCTAGAGATTTTCACCTCGACAAGACATAAGACAAAATTATAAACTCTACTATCTTAACTTGATAAATTTCGCAGAAAAACGACGAAAATATATGGAGCACTCTATATGTTTGCTTCAGATTCATCACAGATGCGCTTCTCTTATGTATTGAACTGCAAAATAATTGAGATTGATGTCTTATGGCGATGACATTATAATGATATCTTTCCTAGTGATATATATGTATATCTGTATGTGTATATATTTGTTATTTAATTGCTTTCATATTTTTATATTTGATTATTGACGTCCGATGATGATAACAATAATTTGAAGTGATTTCATTAACGCGATGTAGGATCACATCAAGTTGACATTATCGCACAAGCACAATTTTTCGATAATTAAAATATTGACAAACATGCCGGTAATAAAATATAAAATATTAATTATTAATCGTGTCGTATCAATATCCTTGACATTGATCATTTTATGCTCTCGCTCATCCTTCGTCTTTCGTACATTCGTATGATCCGGTAAGTCGGCATTCGAGCGAAACACAATGGAGTCAACGGGGAATGATCGGTTTCAAACGGCACGCCGTTTTATTTCCGTCCCTTTAGATTCACCGCGTGCCCATTCGAAGAGGATCCTTTTATCGTTATTTTCGGCTTTACGTCTCTCCTGCGTCGCCATCGTAAGATTTCAGAATACGCCTCCGAAGAGGGAAGGAGAGATACTAACACTTTTCCTTTTCGAGGATTTGTCCGCATAGGGATGGCCGGTGGGAAAGGTTCTGACCGATCTGTTGGCACCCTCGTTTTACGAGGAGACGCTTA